CTATCTTGTCGTTAGTTAGATTGCAAATTGTGCGATGGTGAGTAGGTTTTTGGTCATAAAATGTATCAGAGAATAATTATTAAGTGTATTATCAAAACTTGTTCAAGACAGATTATAATAAATGTCTTTTTAGCGTTCTCTATTTCTACTTGAAGTGTTCTCCTCTGCCAAAATGACCAAAATCTCTCTATTCTCACTGAAAGCTAACCACAAACTTTTGAGGTTCTATATTTCGTCGGAGGTATGTGTAGTATGATTAGATCAAATTGTTCAAGCGGATTTTTTATACGTGGGTTGGTTCCTGTGTTGTCCATAATCACGGGTTTCAGAGGCTCAAATATTGGTTACATGGGTGCTGGCCCAAAAAGGAAACTCATAGTCAGGGGGTGGACACGCCCGCTGCGCGGGCTTTGCCCACCCCCACATTGTCGCACCAATAGACTTGCCTTGCCGATTTCGGCATCATGGTCAAATTGTTGCCTTGTGCAGGGTTGCACAACCTTGTACAAGGCGCGACAAGCATTTTTCATCTTTACTGATGCCGCCCGCCTGCGCTTCAGTCAACGCTTATTAATGGCTACGTCTCATTCAAGCTGCGTTTCCTATTTGGCGCCGATACACTGCACAATACAGCGTTACAAACATTTGCAAACGAAAGCAGTCCGCTATTTTGAATAATACGATGTAGAGTTCCAAGCCAATGGTTATCCTCAAGTTATCCTGGCTTACGTTTAACATCGGAGACAAACAATATTGGACCCTCAGCTCAGCCGGAAGAGAGTTGACTTCGCCAAGGCAGAAACCTGAGTAGCATATCCCATAATATGTGCCACTCTGATAATTGGATGACTGCTGTAATCGGCGACTGTTCATGAGTTCGAATAGATCCATGATACATGCATACGAGAAGATGATACAATGTTAGCACTGGACATGGGTGTTGGAATTAGGTGGGCGAGAAGTGGGAGAAAACGCTAGCAAACGCGTAGCGAACTCGATTCGAAGGTGTCGGGTATAAGTACATCGTGTATAGTAGCCGAAACTAATATCTACGTGATGCGATAATGATGCGACGTCAAAGAAAAAGATAAGATAAGCGCCGAAGCGCGCGGTTAGGTACAATGAGTCGTATGAGCTGACGCTCGTATGGCTACGTATTTCCAACAATGGGGATGCGAATGTCGCAGGCCTCCAGCAATCGTTTGCCTTATATATTCACAGGGGGGGTAGCCCAATAAGTTCTCAGAACTTATTGTGGAAATATTGTGGATGCATTTTAATTAAGTTTTGCCTGGACAGCGAGACTTATTTTGGAACTTACCAGGGACACGTTTCGAATAAGTTTTGGCGCTTTACAATTGACGAGCAATTTGGTTATAAAAGACGATTCATTCAATATATCTCCCCACTAAGTACCAAATAAGTCTTCCTTTTCCTGCAGAACAAAATTAAAATACGTCTTCAATATTTCCATCATAAGTCCCGAGAACTTATCGGGCTATTCCCGCTGTGTATTCCCAAATGAGCACCTACACATCCTTGTAGGCTATGCACAATCAGTAAGCAATACTGCGGCGCCTCAGTCAACGCTTATTAAGTGCTGCGTCTTATTGCTGCGTCTTGCTAATTAGCGCCGACACACCGCACAATACTGCGCTACAAACATTTGCAAATGAAAGTAGTCCGTTATTTTAACAAGGCAGGACCGTCGCTGCGCTCCGGCATAGAAAGACTGGATAAGAAATCACGTGCAAAATCCTAAATAGTATGATACAATGCGTGATAATTAAGGCCTATACCAATGTCTGCCATAAAGAAATAACGACAAATTCGTGCTCTCCAATTGCTCCTGTTGATATGTATTCGCGCGCAAGAAAGGAACGTTGACAGAGAACGCGTGAGGGTCGCCCCAACCGGACCCATACACGAAGCACCCGTGCTCTTCAAACTTGCATCGCTCTATGACGCGTTCGAAAATTGGGGAGAAGTTCACCGTGCAAAAAACCGTCCCAGTCATTGAATGCGTTGTCGTCTCCGCGATGTCCAAATAGTACACCCAATCCACAGCGTCATCGGCGTCTGCCCCGGTGTCCAGCAAGAAGTTGAAGAAATACCATCCTAGTGCGGCCAGCTTATATGCGAACGAAGGTCCCCCCGGCACCGTTGTGACATGGAACACGATGGCAAACTCAGCATGTTCCGCCCACGGGGATTCTGGCGGAGTGCGACCCCAACGCAGTGTTATGCCGGCCCCTGTCTCGTAAGCCGGCTCCAGAGGGTTTGGTAATGGTGGTGCGGCGGGCGTGCACGAGGCAGAAAAAGGCGTGAATGTGGCAAGCGGACATTGTGAAGAAAGGCAACGAAGAACAGAGATGTGCTTAGGAGGGATGAGGAGAAAAGCGAAGAAAAGGAGGGATTTAAATAAGGAAAAAGGACATAGGAAGAAAAAGGAAACTGAGGGAGACGCCAACGCAATGGCAATTCACAAACATATGCATTCGGACAATGAACATATAAGCAAACAGGAACGAAGTGGAGGCTAAAACCAAAAAGGAAATGAGAATGGCCAGAATACGGGAAGGATTAAGCATTTAAGCAAAGAAGCGAGAATGAATTGAGCACCTACGACAGGACAATGAAGAGGAACGATGCGCGAGAAAGAAGAGAACCGGGAAAAAGGCATGACACAAAGGCGACCGCATGATGAGCGAGCGATAGATGGTGATAACGGCGAAACACCGGAGACAGGGAGATTAAGCGACAGAGGCAGAGGTGGCGAACGCGAGACGACCCACACACGGAGGGCAGAACAGAGAGGGAGCATGCGGTGCAAAAACCCCGAAAACGGGACGACATGCACAGAGCAGCATGCAGACAGAGACGAAGGAGAGATGTAAACAGAATTATGCCGGAAAGAACGGAAAGTAGACTCAATGGGGAAAATAGCAACCAAACACATGTAATCAAATAGCAGGTATCAGAGTAAAGATACGGTATGATGATACGTTGTATCGCTATTTCTAGTGTCTCTGGGGAGATCCTGATGCTTGGATCTCTTCCGGCCTGGCCCGTTTGATATGTCTCTGGAAGTAACATTGTACCTTTCTCGAAGGGTGAGTCTTTGTCCTGTAGATAAACAGAGTGACTTGATTAGCAGAACAGTGTTTCCGGATGGCGGACTCGTTCCAAAATGTCCGTACGGCGTGGTGATGTGCAACCAAATACAACGAGCTCCAAGGCTTGTTACTAAAGCTTGTTGGGACATAGGTATGGCTAGTCAATACCATTGTTCGCAGCATGTTTATGTGGTATTCTTTGACCTGGCCATAACGCAGATGCCAGATTCATGCTATACCTCGTCCGTGCAACATATTTGCTCTTTCAATACCACGACGGTAGTAAACTTCTCAAATATTGATCGCCCAAGCTTAGCATTTAGTGAGCCTTGCTCTGGATTTGTCGGGTAATATAACACTCCTTTGGCTGCCTGCGCAGCTGGGGAAAACCAATGGAAGTCACCACATAAGATGACAGTTATCCCCTCAGAAAAGATTGGCTGGATGCCGGCTGTCCTTCTTTTGCCTTCCCAAAAGCAATATTCTGTGATAATACAGCCAGAATAAACTTTGATACTACACCAAGTATACTCGACACTAAGTGCAGTGCAATATACCCTACTAATGTATCATATATCTGGACTATTCTCTTAACCCTTCTAGTGGTGTCGTTACATGTGCATGGTCGTCTTTTCTTCATACATTAGCCTGACTACTTAGTGTTACTTCTTACGATCTAATTTGCCAATTAGGGTGTATGTATCGGCTTCAAGTTGAATGCGTCAAGCACGGTTTTTTGCCGCTTTTAGCGGCAATTTCCCAAGTACGGTTAATGTTCACAAAACTCTTAGGTAAACTACTTATCCAACGCTTCCGATTGGCGGGCCATCATGAACCTAATGTCCTTCGATCTCCCCGTTGAAAAGACTGCGAGCTTTATGAAACACCTTCCCGCTAAGTTCACTGGCTTGTAAGGAGACAAGATGAATCGATGAAGCCCGGCCCCTCACAGAAATTGATTTCACCCCCAGTCACAGACAGAAGCTCTTACTGGAAGTATGCCACGATGGCCACTACGCCTCCAGGCACTTAGTATATCGAGAGTAAACTACAGTGACTGGCGTCAGATTATTGGCTGATGGTGGTCGGGTGGCACCAGCGTAACACGATGCTATCCTGCGTATGATACAATACATATGCTCACAGTATACCACAAGCATTTTTCGACTGCTGGGAGACCCATCGGATCGGCCCATCATGACTTGTGTGGGATCAACGGTAATTTGTCGGATGGGCCGATGATGTTCTCCTGGCATAACACGGCCGTGCCAACTTCAAGTGACGCATCCACAAAGCTTAAATTGAAGCTGTAAGTCAGGAAAACAGTATTATGTACGTTTCCAATCTAGTAGGGTCTGCGTCCCCGTACCATCATGTTCGACATATTGTGGCAATTCTGTTGCTCGTCGGTAAAGGCCTTGAGATCTGGTGTCTCCCTAATGGGCTCAAAATCAGAGACCGGGTCACCATGTTTGTCATCGTAAAGGTCATCCTCGTTGAAGGATTTAATTACATCAACGGATTCCCTAGGCCGTGTACTACCAGCACTGGCAGGCAACCTATGCGCGATGTATTAAATACACTGATGGTACACTGTGAACACCTTTTGACCGCTAGGAGGCCCATCGGATCGGCCCACCACGGCCTAGGTGGGATGAGCGGTTATGCGTCGGACGGGCCCCCAGGTGGATGGGCCCCCAGGTGGATGCTCTCCTGGCATAAGACGGCCGTCGAGAGGACCCTCAGTCCTGAGTCACCTGTGTGCGATGTATAGTATACACTTATGATGTATGTAGCTAAGAAGCTAAAGTATTGCTCGAAGCAATTGACATATTTGTAGTACTGCTATCAGCCCGGCCAACATGTTGACCAGGACCGCCACACAGACATGGTGAGACCGTGGGCTGACGTCCGCTGGGCCGAGACCGTCGGGTGGTCTGGATGGTGCTGGCGGATTATGCAGCCACTTATACAACAAAAAAGACTACTCAGAAACATTGAGGTACTTGCACTTAGAAATGGCCTGGAGGAAACGTATGCAATCTATCAAGCAGAGACGGAGAGAGTACCCGCCTTCCATAGCTTTTTATCAACCACTGGGATGCCCTCGTTGATCTACGATATTGGAATTATTCCAGCGGTTTGGCGCGTTGCGATGGTGCAAATCGTTAAAGATAGACGAACATACATTGCTCTTTTGCAATAGTTTGAAGGGTGTGATAGTAAGCGCGACCCTGTGTTAAGATCGACCTGCCAAGATCAAGGAAGAAATCATAACATGTTTTTCTGTATCATGTACCGACGCAAACAGTGACATTATGTCCAGCCAGAATACCTCTAGTGACCTGGAGGTAGAACCCGTGGAGAGTGCGTTCGTTGTCGAAGCGTTTATCGACCTAGCTAATGGCTATGAAGACGAGAGTCCAGATTGTTGAGGTGAGCGGGTATTGGTGAAGGCGGGTGACAAATAGCTGAAAGCGCGCTGCGAGTTGTTGAGTAGCTCGGATTTATCGTGTAAATCTAGTGTATTTATGTTAATCTTGGGGATGGGGGCACGGTCGACAAATTTTAGTTTACAGGCGAGCATGGCCAACAACGATCTTTCTCGAGTCGATCATCCTATTGAGTCTTAGCATGCTACTGCAGAAGCTCCTGTACCTCTGGCGTGAATGATGAAGAATAAAGTGGGAGGTGATCGCTTCAGAGGGTGATGTCACTAGTAGCCTTGCAGTGTTGAAATATCAGCGATAGGAGGTATCCTCGAAATCCCTGAATATCCTTCTCTTGTAGGTCTGTTCCTACTTTATCTTCCCGAACCAATGCTGAGACTGTCGCTAACACCCATACACCACAATCATAACCGTTGGTTTGACAAGCGTCTTTCTGTACCACGTTAGTCAGAGCGTACTGAAAGGCTCAATGACCTACAATCACAGGCTGAGATGTCCACCGGGCTGAACTTGTGCCGTCATTCATGATGAGCTTGCTGTTTTTAGCACATAAATTCATCAATCTCTCCACCATATTGAAAACAGTCTAGAAAAAAAAAACGTCATGCAAGGGGTAGCAAACAACATCAAAGCACTTACGAGGCTGTATTGTTCAAATAGGTCTCTAGACGCCATACTGTCGAATATAAGCACATTTTTTGAGGGTCGGTCGATGATTGCAAGCATCCAATGCCCAACAGTGCCATACGTTGACCCTGCATGAAATATAGGGATCATCCATTTTTCCTTTTCCCAGTATGAACTTCTCCATGAATTCCTCCATAGTGAATCGTCATTTTGTCCTAGATGATACGTTGTAAATATTGCCCATGTGTTAATCGCGCTAGGATTGCAGGAGAATAAGAGCGTTATACAACCGTTTATGCAGGTATCGTTGATGCATGATGTTGGACTTCTAAGCATTTCAACGTCTTTCTGATAGAACGCATGGCTGCCATGATGTACGGAGTCATAAGTGAGGGAAACACTGGGTTTGATTAGATAACCTGGATGGGTTTCATCGTGCACAATCAAAGCCTTGATAGATGCTTTTCCACGGCAACATCCCTCAGGTAACTGTCATCATCCATCAACGACCGATAGATCAAAGTTTGAAGACACAGACCTCAAGGTCCCAACAAACAGTGATTGGTGGAGGTTGAGCAGTGCTTAGCCTTGATATTAGAGCAGACAGCTTCATTTGTTTAACCCGCAATGTTTTATCGGAAGCAGCCTTGGCTCCGGTCTCTTCTTTTGAAGTCTTCTTCTTTTTGCAGTATAGTTGCGTCTTGCGACCTAACGAATCGAAATCATGGCCTTGTGTGAGCGTGTGATAAATCTTACCACCATGCATACCTGACTGATCCAATTCTGCATTGGTAATGCCCGTAAATGTTCTTGGCTCGCTACAGTCCTTGATGAAAGAAGCTGAAACTGATTTGATTATGAATGCTATAGGCCGATTAATGAGGCAATACCACGAGAGGATGCAGGGTCCAGATGACATTCGTTATAGATGGAACTGGCAGGTGGCCCATCCCTTGGAGATTCAAGAGCTTTTGGGTGTTGCAGGAAGGTTGGCATGGGAACGTCGATGTCCTTGCTCACTTTGTTTGGAAGAAAACCAGTGTCTGCTACAACGGCATTGGCGCCCGCGGAAGCTTTTTCATTATAGCATAGAACATCAAGCTGCTTTTCCCTGAAAGAGAGGCCATCTGCACCAAGTGTGGAACCTGGACTGCCGGGATCGGGGTAATCTAAGGGATCATTGAGGTTTGGTAACGATGAAGCATAGTGAGCAGAAGGAGTCTGGGTAAACTGTTCAGTCTTCCCTATATCCCCAGGCCAGATCTCGACGGGAGCCTTGTTGTCTTGACATAGCTGTGATAGGCTTGGTGAAGCACATGCTTCCGGGACTCGTGTTCTCACTCCAGAATCAGATATCTCCTGCGATGCGCTTGGTAAATCCGAGAATATACCTTTGCGCAACAGCTCGTATGCGGACAACATACCTGGCTACTCATCACAGTCTCTTCCCTTCCCAACCCCTGGTATAAGGCTTCGACATCATCAATGCTTGTCCCTTGTTTTCTATGATCTAGGGTGTTGCACTGGCACTCGCCTGCATCTTTCGGCGCTTTCGGCGCTGTGTCCTTGAGATTTGAGGAGTTTGCTGTGAACTCATTTTGTTCGTTGTCCTCGGGGTGTGTCTGGTATGTGCTCTCCTGATGCTCTTCAGCTGTCGAAAGAGTTTCTCGGATAGGCTGTTGACGAAACTCCGATCTCTTCCCGCCAGTGGAACAAACTTGGTGCTGATGGTGAGCACCTCTGTTCTCCTCCTTCCCTGTGCTTTCAATCTGTGCTGCTGGACGTAGTTTTGGGTTCCCAACCTCCGTAAAAGATGCATTTGAGTTCCATTGAGCAAAGAGAGTATCTGATCTCTGCTCGTTTGTCAGAGACGAGATTGACACGAGAAACTCAACGACATCAACTGCTGTTAGGTTGCCGCGTCTAGGTTGATACGACCGCGCCATTGGGCCGGAAACTGCTCCAGAGAGGCCGATACCTTCCAGACATAAATCCTCTTTGATGCAGCAACTCATCAGAAGCGCATTCCAGGTGTGAACATTGGAGTAGTTTGGAGCGGAAATCGGATCCTGGATGCTAAATTGAGTACACTATTCAATAGTAGACCCGTTGGTTGTCATACCGCTTGATTTTGGATGTCATCTCTGGACTCCGAACATCGTTTCTCCAAGGTTGCCTCTATGTTGCATTCCTCAACTGATGAAGTATGCAGCATGTCACCCTGAGGGATCCTCTCAATTAGACATCACTCACCAGCGTACCCATCTAGTGTGCGTACCGGCTTCTGGCTGTTATTTTCCCACAGCCCTTGAACAATGTCTTGAGCCTCCTTGAGTGACGCGGGAGGTTCTTGAGGAGTGGACGCAT